TTAATTAATTTATTTATTTTTGAGAGGGAGTCTCACTCTGTTGCCCAGGTGGGAGTGCCGTGGCATGATTTCGGCTTGTTGCAACCTCTGACTCCTGGGTTCAAGTGATTCTTGTGCCTCAGCATCTTTTGTATCTGGGATTACAGGTACCCACCATCATGCTGGCTAATTTTTATATTTTTAGTAGAGATGGGTTTCACCATGTTGGCCACGTTGATCTTGAACTCTTGACCTGAGATGATCCACCTGCCTTGGCCTCCCAAAGTACTGGGATTATAGGTGTGAGCCACCATGCCTGGCTGCAACTAAAAAGTGATTTTAGACATAATGGAATAAGGCAGAGGCATAGAATAATGTCTGAAATATCATATACCTGAAAGTTTTCACATTGTTTAGCTATGACCTTGTCAGTTGAAGAATATGTTATCAGCATTTGGGCTATACCAGTGAACAAAACATTCAAAATACTTTGACCTTGTGAAGCGTACATTCTAGCAGGGCAGGCAGATAAGAAGTAATAAACATAATAAGTTATGTTAGGTGATAAATATTATGGGAAAAATGGGCAAGGGAAGAGGAAATCAGGGGAGTCAGTGTTGTGTAGGGTGGAGTGGCTTGTGGTGGGGATAGGGTAATCAGGGTAGTTGCATTAAGAAGTTCAATTTTAGATCTTTCCTTGCTTCTCCTGTGGACATTTATTGCTCTATATTTTCCTCTAGACACTGCTTTAAATGTGTCCCAGAGATTCTGGTATGTTGTCTCTTTGTTCTTGTTGGTTTCGAAGAACATCTTTATTTCTGCCTTCATTTCATTGTTTATCCAGTCAACCTCTTCAAGGAGAACTACAAACCACTGCTCAACGAAATAAGACAGGACACAAATAGTTGGAGAAACATCCATGCTCATGGTTAAGAAGAATCAGTATCATGAAAATGGCCATACTGCCCAAAGTAATTTACAGATTCAATGCTATCCCCATCAAGCTACCAATGACCTTCTTCACAGAACTGGAAAAAATCACCTTAAACTTCATATGGAACCAAAAGAGAGCCTGTAGAGCCATGTCAATTCTAAGCAAAAAGAACAAAGCTGGAGGCGTCACACTACCTGACTTCAAACTACACTACAAGGCTACAGTAATCGAAACAGCATGGTACTGGTACCAAAACAGAGATATAGGCCAATGGAACAGAACAGAGGCCTTGGAGGCACCACTACATATCTATAACTGTCTGATCTCTGACAAAGCTGACAAAAACAAGCAATGGGGAAAGGATTCCCTATTTAATAAATGGTGTTGGGAAAACTGGCTAGCCATGTGCAGAAAGCAGAAACTGGACCCCTTCAAAAACCTTACACTAAAATTAACTCCAGATGGATTAAAGTCTTAAACATAAAACCTAACACCATAAAAACCCTAGAAGAAAACCTAGGCAAAAACTATTCAGGACATAGGCATAGGCAAGGACTTCATGACTAAATCACCAAAAGCATTGGCAACAAAAGCCCAAATAGATGAGTGGGACCTAATTAAACTCCAGAGCTTCTGCACAGCAAAAGAAACAATCATTAGAGTGAATCAGCAACAAACAGAATGGGAAAATTTTTTTTCAATCTACCCATCTGACAAAGGGCTAATATCCATAATCTACAAAGAGCTAAAACAGATTTACAAGAAAAAAACAAGCCCATTCAAAAGTGGGCAAAGGATATGAACAGACATTTTACAAAAAAAAGACATATATGAAGCCAATAAACATATGAAAAAATGCTCATCATCACTGGTCATTAAAGAAATGCAAATCAAAACCACATTGAGATACCATATCACTCCAGTTAGAATGGTGATCATTAAAAAATCTGGAGACAACAGATGCTGGAGAGGATGTGGAGAAATAGGAACACTTTTATACTGTTGGTGGGAGTGCAAATTAGTGCAACCATTGTGGAAGACAGTGTGGCAATTCCTCAAGGACCTAGAAATAGAAATTCCATTTGATCCAGCAATCCCATTACTGGGTATATATCCAAAGGATTATAAATCGTTCCATTATAAAGACACATGCACACAAATGTTTATTGCAGAACTGTTTACAATAGCAAAGACTTGGAACCAACCCAAATGCCCACTGATGATAGACTGGACAGGGAAAATGTGGCACATATATACCACGGAATACTACGCAGCCATAAAAAAATGATGAATTCGTGTCCTTTGTAGGGACATGGATGATCCTGGAAACCATCATTCTCAGCAAACTGACACAAGAACAGAAAATCAAACACTGCACGTTCTCACTCATAGGCAAGTGTTGAACAATGAGAACACATGGACACAGGGAGGGGAGCATCACACACTGGGGCCTGTAGCAGGGAACTAGGGGAGGGACATTGGGGGGTGGGAAGTTGGGGAGGGATAACATGGGGAGAAATGTCAGATATAAGTGATGGGGAGGAAGGCAGCAAACCACATTGCCATGTATGTACTTATGCAACAGCCTTGCATGTTCTTCACATGTTCCCCAAAACCTAAAATGCAATTTAAAAAAAAAAAATATATATATATATATATAAAGTTGAATTTGAGCAGACTCAATGAAGGAAAGGAGGAGCTAGCCAACTAGATGTCTGGTCGAGGATGTTCCAAGCAAAAGAATAGCTATTTTTAAACTCCCGAGGCTGAAGTGAAATAGACATGTTCCTGGTCCAGCAAGAAGATGAAATGACTGCAGCAAAGAGCAAGGGAGGAGAGCATGGTAAGAGGTGATGTTAGAGAGGTAATAGTGCCATATCTTGTAGAGCCTTTCAGGCTATCTTAAGGATTTTGGTTTTTGCTGTAAGGGGAGCATTAGATGATAGGCATGTTAAAACACTGACAGTTTTTATTATCATGGATCTTCATTTTTTTTCCTCTTTTTAGAAAATGTGTGCCACTCCGTTTAATGGCATTTTTTTATTTTCTTTTTTTCATTTTTGCCAATGTCTCTTTATTTTTTTTTGCAGAGCCCTCCTTCCTTTCTTTTTTGAACCAATATATGCTTTTAAAAACTTTCTGGCCAGGCCAGGCTCAGTGGCTCATGCCTGTAATCCCAGCACTTTGGGAGGCTGAGGTGGGTGGATCATTTGAGGTCAGGAGCTCAAGACTAGCCTGACCAACATGGTGAAACCCCGCCTCTACTAAAAATACCAAAAAAATTAGCCAGGTGTGGTGGTGCGTGCATGCCTGTAGTCCCAGCTACTCAGGAGGTTGAAGCAGGAGAATTGATTGAACCTAGGAGGCAGAAGTTGCAGTCAGCCGAGATTGTGCCACTGCATTCCAGCCTGGGCAACAGAGTGAGACTCCATCTCAAAAACCAAACCAAACCAAAACAAAACATTTCTTTTGGGGGAAACAGTACCTAATTCGAATACTTCACAATTATTTTGTGATTAATATGTCAAGTACTTTATCCCAGGCAGCACTCTTTTTTAGGATCCAAAGTAATAGTTACGATCACAGTCCTTGAAGCTGTCTCTCTAGAAACATTTTGAATTTTAGCTGCCATAGCTGAAGATGGAAGGATAATTACTTTGGCCAACAATTTCACACCATCTTTGAAACAGAAAAGAAGTCCAATAAGTCAAATACAGAGGACACATGGGCATTTCAGTTACCCTTGAGTGTGGTCACTGTGTAATTTTTTGTTGCTGATGGTGCTTTTTAGATGAGGCCTAGTTTATAAATTTAACCTGTGACTTATTGATGACATTTGTTTTTTTCTTGAAATGACTTATTCACTCCTAGGGAGAGAGGGTGTCTAAATGCTGGACAAGGCATGAGGCCAATTCTTGGATCAGGTGTCATGAGAGGGAGGTTTCTAGAAAGGGTGCTGTAAGTGCTGTTGCTTTTTAAAATCTGGAAGAATAATGCTGTCTTTATTATTCCTAAAGGAAATGAATAAGTGGAACATGTGAAAGAGAAATTACACCACTGAGATGGTCTCTTTACACTGGGGAATCTTCTTCACTTCTCTCTCCTTTGTAAGATGATTAATAGATTGATTTTGTTTAAACTGTGGGAAATAAATGAAACCGTTAGATATTTATATTGAAAGCAAATACATTAATAAAGGCAATGAAGCTTTCTGTAGGCTGCATGGCCTGCCCCCAGGCTGTAAATGCTCCTTCTGACTTTCCAACGCAACTGCCAAGCACTGCCTCTACACAGTCTTTTAAAACTTTTCCATTCCAAATCCACTTGGTACTTCATTATGGCCTTGTTAATGTTGAACGTTGTCCAAAGGGACTTGCAAGATAGATTTTCCCTTTTATTGAGGAGGAGCAAAAGAGGAGGGCTATAAAAGCATTTCTAGTTGGTATTACCTCCGGTAGATACATTAATAAAAAATAGTCATGCTTCTATAGGAAGAAAATCTTTTAATTTGCTATTGTTTAAATGATGAGAATTTGGGCAAATGTATTTGCTTTTACTTTATTTTAGCACCTTTTAGAACATTCTGCATAGGACAACCTGGAAGATCACTGTATTTTATTTATATGTGGAGTAAGTAAGTGAATATATTCACAAGGTACACGTTGACTGTGTATAAGATGCATGCAGACTTGCACTTATGATATTGGTTTTTAGAATTTGGTCCATTTTACCCAAGTTAGCATCTCTCTCCCTATTTCCTCCAACAAGACTTTCTCTATGGGGATCAGAAAACATGTTTCCTGTGTTCTCATATTTAGCATAAGACTTATGGGGGTCTTTTGCAGCTCTCCAATGTGTAAGAATATTTGCTTAAATGTAGTAAAAGCCTCTTAGAATGACAAACCCTTTCACCAGCATGATCCATCCTAATTATGTGCTTGTTACCTCTACATGTCCTTGTTGAGCAGCGTAAAGACCAGCAAGGAATGTTCTTGAGAAGGGAGATATAGGACCTGAAAACTAGCACCTACAGGCAGGTACAAGAACAACTTATGTCTTATACTTGAAAATTGTGTTTCCCTTTTAGATCTTGGATTTGCCTGAACTGATTGATGACTCCAAGTATAAAACTAACCACCTTCGGGTACAGAATAGAAAAGAGCTTATTAAAATATTATCTGAAAGGTAAGTTTGGATCGTGTATTCATCCATTTAAGAATTAGTATGTAATAAGCATTTATCTGGTGTTTTGTTAGTTTTATTCTTGGCTTATTTGAGATCAATTTGTAATTTTCTTCCATTTTACAAAGCTGGCTAGTGGAGAGATTTCAAAGCTGTGGGTATTTTGTTTGTTTGTTTAGAAGCACTTGAACACATTTTATATGATTTGTTACATACTGAGTCCTAACAATGATAAGAGAGTCACCGTGACTTGAATTAGGTTGTTTCTCTGTGTCCTGTAGCTGTTTGGGTTTAGTATATCATAAATATAACAACAACACCAATAACAGTAATAATTTAACATTATTTCATACTTTCACTGTGTTAAATGCTTTAGATACATTATCTAATTTAATCCTCATACTCATCCTGTGAAGTAAATTCTGTTATTTCCATTTTACATGTAAGGAAAGCAAGGCAAAGAGAGGTGAAATCAAGAGTTGGTTTGCATTTCTGAGCCATTCCTGTGAATCATGATGTTATTTCTGGATCATTGCAAATGCCACATTGAGTTATGGGTCATAAAAGATTAATGTTAATTAAGTAGATTATTTGATTTCCAAGTTTTTCCATTAATGTTAGGTTATTCTTTTGTAATATCTGTGCCATTTTTTCACATTTGTCTGAAAAAAAGTAATTATTCTTACTGTTTCATGTCACTTTCACTGTTTGTTTGCCTTTATATGTCTTCTCAATATGTACAAATAGGCTTTGTGGCTTTTGTGGATCTAAATGCCCTCATTAACTTTTCTTTTATATTGAAAATTTGCTCTCATCATGCCAATAAATTAGATAATTTTGTTCAAATACCATATCTAGTCTTTTGAAAAGGCCCATGTGTTTCTATGTAGTACACATCAAAGTTATAAGAACTAAAATTCTGTTATTGTTTTTATTTCTGTGTGTTTGTATTTGGGGATGGCTGCAGGAATATCTGAGTCAACATTTATCTATTTTCTCTTTCCTGGATTTTAAATACTTTTGTAACTTTAAACACTTTTGTAATTTTAAATATTGCCTGTATCTTGTCCATGTGCCAATTGCTTTTCACATCAATAGGGGCTGTGTGTGTTGGACTGATAGACACAGAATCGGGAAAGGAGAACTGGGTGCCCTTTCCTGGTCTAGTTAAATATAACTCTGATTCTACCGCAAAGCCCCAGAGCCCTCAATGATTAACCTTTCTCCACATGTGAATTGCCCATTTATTTCTACTTTTTGCCTCTTTGCCTCTCAAGCATTTGAAATTCATTTAGTTAATTGATAAAACTTTTCCTTTCACACCATGTTTACCAAATTTTAATAATAGACATTTGTGAGAACCTTATCAGAAGCTCTTTGATAATCTGAATAAATCATGTCCATGCTGTGAGAAGAGATCCCAAGAAAAATAAGATACCTAGGTAGGGTAGGTTTCCTATGTGTCAAAACTTTCATTCCTTACTAAATTCTGTTATAGAATTCAACTGTGAAATGACTTTTAGTAGCATCTGTAACATATTCATTTCCATTTTCCCCCTTTGAGGTGAATGAAATAATCTACAACCTTCTTCTTTCTATTCTTTTATACACAGAAGCTTCAGCATTTTGGTATCCATAAGATTGTTATGTATTTATTCAAACTGAACAGTAAGTAAGGAATCAACATATAAGGGAGAGATGGGGTATAGTCCTAGGAGAGGAAATTTTATAAGGAGGTCACATAATCATTGGTACTGCTCTTAAAACACAAACCACAGATAGGTCCTTTGGCTGCTTGGAGGCCACGTTTGTGCTCTCTTCTGCTACTGTGCTAACATTTTTTGGTACTTTCTTATAGGTTGCAGTTCTCCAAGTCTCTTCTAGCACATGTCTCTTTTCCTCCAAGGTGGTTCAAATAGTGATGACCTGGGAAAATTAGAATTAGAATATTGATTCATTTCAGTTTATAAGCTTATCCTTTATTTTTCTAAATAAATAGCTCTGGAATCATTAATACTGCTTAGTGCTTAGCTTTGAGAAGAGTCTGTGGATTCTTTAAAATTTGTCATTTTCATTATATGATTCTATGTTTTTCCAGTATTCAAAAATGTTAGTGGTGCTCCATAAATTACAGGATTAGACCTAGCCTTCAGTCTGGCATGCGGAGTCTTCCATAATCTGACATCACCTTTCCTGCCCACTCCTCTTCTAACGTGTTTCTGAAGGAAGCCCCTGCTATAACCACCCTCCCAATTGGCTTAGTTTCCTCTCTGAAATGCTTCTCAGAATTACCACTTTTCTGAAATTTAGTCATGCTTCAAGGCCAGTTCTAGAACCCTCTGCTCCCAGGCAGATGATAGCACCTTTAGGAAAGAAGGTTGTCCTTTTCATGCCTTGTCAGTTGTCAAACAGAAGCACAATCAATGTTAGTTGTCATAATGAATGATACTGCTCCAGGGCCTGCTCAGCATTCTCGTCTTGCTCAGCACACTCATTGTACAGCCACCTCAGAACCTGCAGTCACTTTGTTTCGTAATGACAGTGTTACATTAGCTCACAGCCACAAAAAGGAACCAGGGAGAAAGGAGGGAGTGGAACTAACCTTTGATGGGTGCCAAGTACATGCCAGATAAGTGTTATTATTCCCACTTGATATGAAAATTCTGACAGTCAGGGAGGTAGTCTCCAGGTGAGGCACATAGTGAATAGTTAGAAATGGGATTCAAAAGGCCACACCTTTTCCATCTCTTGTATTGCCTCCCTGAAGTGGCATGTGAAATATGACTGTGTTCTTCTTTGTTTATGTGCTCAAGAAATATTTACTGAGCACTTACTGTGTAGTAGGCACTGTTGCAACCATTGGGGATAGAGAAGCGAATGAAATAGACAAAGCATATCCATGAAAAATAATGCAGGCCAGGACAAGAAAGAATGCCAGAAGTTGAGTGTGAAGCTGGCTTTTTCACTTAGCCTGGTCAGAGAGGGCTTCTCTGTGAAAGTGACATTTGAGCAGAAGCCTGCAAGAAATGAGAGAAAATGTCTGAGGGAGGCTGGCAGACATCTGGGAGATGCATTCCATGCAGAGTTTATGGAGCAACTCAGAGGACAGTGTGCTTGGATCTGAGAGAGCAAGAGAAGAGGGGTGTTAAGTTGGTTCAGAGAAAGTGAGGGCCTATGGCAGGCAGATCATGTTGTGAAATCGTGAAAACCTTTATGACAAAGTAGTTTCTTAAACTTGTGAAATAAAGAATTTTTTTGGAGGAGGGCATAAAATGGATTGGCTTATTAGCAATTCTTTATTCCCTCTAAACTGAAGAGAGAGTCTCAAGGGAGTGTTATACCTAGTAGAGGAGAGGTCAAACATTCTAGCAACATGGAATCAGGAGGAACCCATTTCTCACCTGGAGAGACCAGAGGGCCAGGTTGAAATGATCTATGCTTCTCCTCCATATATTCAGTATCTCCCTTATTCAACAAGCATTTATCAAACACCTATTATGTGCCATGAACTGTTCTGAGCACTAGGGATATAGCAGTAAAACACAGTCAAGAATCCCTGCTCTCCTGAATTTTCATTTGGTAACAGTTGCAGACTTTTTAGAAGACATAATTCTTTTTGGTGGTGGTGGTTTTTGAACTCTTCCTTAAAACATTTGTTTTGTTGAGCCTAAGAAGTTAGTTTTCCATATTTTTTATAATAACCACTTTTACAAAATTTTTCTTTTGCAAAAGTATTGCAGCTATAGGCTGTTCCTGTTACTCATTTATTGTATTTTTTCAATATGTTGATATACATGCTCTAGTTTTTAAAATGTGGTTTGCAAGTCATTTCCATAGTAAAAACATATTTTTAGTAATAGTAGTCACTCACAGGTAATTAACTTTAGCATATTAGTCTATCATGTTTTTGCCTGTTGTCTTCTACTACACCTTACATCACAAGCACATTTTATTAGTACTTACACTTGCCTTGCCTGATATTTTTATTTTAGAAAGATCTTTAAAACATGTAAACATGTGGATGGATTCATGAGAGTGAATTTGCATAGCAGATAACTTTAAAAACAAACTCTAGGAATGATGAACTCACTGTATTTTAAAAAGGTCTCTTATCCTTTACAACCAATTTGAAGACAGTGAAAACAGAAGCACTTTTGGATTTTTACAAAGTTGGCTCTTCTGAATATACACATGAATTTCCTATTGTGTTTCAAAATCTTCTTTTCAAAGTACTTTCCCTGAGCAATTTTTGAGTATTCCCCTCTCTGTCTCTTGTAAGCATTCATTTATATTTTTTAGAATCAGGTGATTCTCCTATGAAAAGTACAGGCTTTTTTGGAAGTATCTACCAGAGTTGTCAGTCACTTACTTCACTTCTCTGTTATTCTTGCTAAGAACAGTTTGAAGCTACTCTCTGAGGGCGGTCAGCCTCACTCAGGACGGCAGCTGCCTGTTTTGGTCATCAGCTGCATTTTCCACAGCCAGCACACACAATTCCCCTCCAATGCTCTCAGGTGTTACTATTCCCCAACCAGGGCTGTGAGCAAGTCTTTTTTATTAATCTAAAGGTAAAAGACTTTCCCCTGGAGTTTGCCATTTTATCCAGGGTGTTGCAGAAAGTATGTTTACCCAGCTGCTAACATTGAAAACTAGGTAAAACTCAATCATGTTAAAAAATCCCTAGCTAAAACAGAAGAGGAGATATAATGGAGACTAATCCAGCGCCAGATAAAACAATCCCCTTCTTTGCAGCACTAAGGAGCAACCAACTCTTAAACCTGTGCTACTCACACACCAGATCAGCATTTTTGCAATAGTTAGGACCTCAAGAGAGAGATTGCAAGTTGTGAATTGAAACTAGGAAGAGAAGGATAAAGATGATGTATTAGTGTTAGGGGAGAAATAATAGGAAGACATGAAATGAGGATGAAGGAGAAGAGAATTGATTGAGAAAATAGACATAAAATTTATTTTATTCCCTCTCCCTTCCTTTCTTCGCCAAC